TTGGACCGTAAACACCTATTCATAGGGAGTAAACGCATTTTAAAGTGTTAAGATGCCACTTAATCACACCATAAGCCTTGGAATAAAGGCTAGAAGCAACCACAATCAAGTTAAGGGCCTTAAACATGCTAAAACTACCCCCATAGGAGCTTACGGCCATAAACCCCCCAAGAATGGGTTCTTAGGCCGTAAACTCCTAAAACTTAGTCAAATGGTGCCTTAAACTCATTCCATGGCTTATAGAATTAGCTAGAAACACTTGTAAGTACCTAGGACCACCAAAACATCAAAGGAATGTGTATGGGGGAGTTTACGGCCGTAAACTCCATTAGATGGTCCATATGTGGGTTTAATCCATTCCTATACCTTAGATTTGATCCTAGCAAATTTTCCCAAGTGATATAAGACCATTTAGCACCATAGAACACCCCACCATGAGTTTACGGCCGTAAACTCATGTGGAGTGATTCATTAGGGCCGTAAAACCTCTTATGAGTTTAATCTTGAAGGGTAAACTCCATATCCAAGACATATATGTCCCTAGATGTCACCCGTGTCACTCCAAACACTTATTTTGAAGTGTTTTCGCATCTTGGAGTGTATAATCTTATCTAATTAGTGGATCAAAGTCTAATTAGATACAATTGTGTAGAATTTCACATTACATAGGAACCACGCGCATTTTCAAGCCTTGAACTGACGTTTAGCATTGAATCCGACTAGTTTCTCGACTGGTGAGTTCATACCCTTACCCTTTTTCAATGTTTTTCAAATGTTTTCAGGGGGGGATACAAGAAAAAGTACAAGGAAATCTTGTACTCGAACTTATTATTTCAGTTCAAATGTTTACATTCTGTATGTTTTTAGTATCGAAAACTGTGTTAACCAATAATTCAAATTGTTGAGTTAGCTTTCAGACTAATCATAGATTTCTTGATAAAGTGTTATAATCTATGTTATATTTCATAATTTAAGAATAATTCATACTAATCATCAAATAGGACTAATATGAATACGAATACGAATACGAAAGTACAGCTAGGATCAGAGCGAATATGAAAGTACAGCTAGGATCAGAGCGAATACGAAAGTACAGCTAGGAACAGAGCGAATACGAAAGTACAACTAGGAACAGAGCGAATACGAAAATACAACTAGGAACAGAGCGAATACGAAAGTTTAGCTAAGAATACAAATACGAATACGAATAGGAATAGGAATAGGAATAGGAATACGAATACGAATACGAATACGAATACAAATACGAATACAAATAGGAATAGGAATACGAATACGAATACGAATACGAATACGAATATGAATACGAATACGAGTACGAATAGGAATACGAATACGAAAGCACGCCTCTGGTTACATTTGAGTGTAGAATAACTAGGATATCAGAATACCTAGCTAATACAACAAGTATGTTAGATAATTGTACATTACATTTGGATTCAACAACTGAACTTTACTTTTAAGGAAAATAAGGGTTTTTCCTGGGATAACAAACTGTACATAACCGGACCGAGTAACTAAACGGATAACTCAACTAAACTTATAAGAAAATATGGGATTTTCTTGGATAACAAACCTTTTCGGAAAACCAAAGAAAACTTGTACATTTTCAGAAAACAAACCTCTTATGAACTCACCAACTTTATGCTGATTTTCAAACTGCTTGTATTCTCAGATCCATATTAAACAGGTACCCAGCGATCCTTTTGGCGAAGACGGAGGGCATAGAAGACACATCTTTACTTTTTTTCATATGATATATATATATATATATATATATATATATATATATATATATGTATATATATATATATATATATATATATATGTATGACACTTGTAACACTTTGATTTCAAACAAATGTAATAACTCTATGTAATGTATTGTTTTGTGTTTACTATGCTTACTATGTACATTGGTTGCGATATACATGATATCCTCCGCTCCGGAACGTTTCCGCCTTTGGTTTCGGGGTATGACAGATGTGGCATATAAATCAAATGTAAGATTCTATATTGTTATATGATAGTTGATAGGTCGGGGTTTTGAAACATTTTTTGTCTTCATTTAATTTATCCAAGTTAAAAAATGCATTTGTTGGTTGAAAATAGTACGTAGATAGCTATTATGGGGTAAAAAGGGGAAAAGTAAGTCGCTATGTCTTGCAAATTGATCTATCTATAGATTTGGAACCCTTTGGAGAACACATTTGGAACCCTTTCTCTGACAATTTGTTCCAATCTTGAAGGTGCTAATGACACTAAATCAGCAATACCTTTTTTGCAGAATGTACACGAGTAAGAATTTGGTCCTTTTTTGCTAATCCACGTGGCTGCTTCAGTATCTCCAAAAAATTGTAAGGTGGAATGAAGTTGTTAACAAGCATACCGAACACAAGTCAAAATATTTTCCACTTGAGGAAGCCCAATATAAAGTGTAACATTCAAAAGTTAGAATTTTGGACAAGAAAATGTTTATTTTAGAAATATGAGATAATAGATACCAAGGCTACTACTAATTCAACCAATGCATCAATCACATCTGGCCCATAGTTCCATAAGCTCATTCCATATATCTAAGAGTTGTATGTCTGAATAGGGTATAGGTAAACATGTTTGACCTCAATGTTTCCCCATAAGAATTCGGAAGCCCCAATTTGTAATTCAGAACCATTAGAAATTGAACCACCATGAAACTAGAAAAGTTAAAAAGAAAAAAGAATATTAGAAATAATAAAAGGCAACCAACCCCAATTCTTTCACCAAAGCTTACCTTTTGGCTAGTGACTTCCCAGAGAGGACCTAGAGATGGATGAAGAAGGATGAGATATGGTGGTCCAGAATTAGCATATTTATCATTACTTTCAATCTGCACAACAAAAATTATCTGGTCAACATTCTCCATGGTTCTGATTATCGTAATCCTTAACGATGGTTAGAGAGATTTCACTTCAAGTCTTGTATTTGTTGTCGTAATAGTTTTGAATTTTTTTATAAATCTGTTTGTTTGTTTTTTTATAGGAACAATCTCAAAGTATCGTGTGAAACCATCTCCATTACCTGACAGCTGGAAGCTAAAAGAGATCTTCGCCACAGGAATCGTATTAGGAAGTTACCTAACTTTAATGACCGTCATCTTCTTTTGGATCAAGAGACACCGACTTCTTCACAGTAAGTGAAAAATAAAAATTATTTAATTTTTAAAAAAATATTCGATTACTAATTTTGATAAACACTCACACTCGCAGAACACATTTGGTGTGAGATCGATCAGAAACGATGAGGTGGAGATGATGGCTAATTTGTATCTCCAAGTGAGTATTGTAAGTCAGGCTCTAATTTTCGTCACCCGTTCACGAAGCTGGTCGTTTATCAAGCGCCCTAGTCTCTTACTATTACGACAACTCAACTTTCGGACCTGTTTCCGGTACGACGTTGGGAGATTCTCCAATGGTCGGCGTTTATGGGTGCTTCTCGGTTCCAGCTAGAAGGAATGAGCTTGTTTGGGAAATTCACAGGAGATCGAGTTTCGTCGGAGGAGGAGTAACGTCTATTACTAGAGTGTGAATCTGTGTATGCGCGACGCCTAAAGTTGAGGTATCTTTGACCTAAACGACTTTCTTTCGTTGTTGAGTTTGGTTTTGAATAATAGGTGGCCTGGTGGCATTTTTGGATCGTTAAATGAAAGTTAAGTCTATGGATTCAAACACTTTATGGGCTTATTTAAATCTAAAAATATGATTAATTAAGATTTCAAATGGATAGAAATTATTTATCGAGAAATTTTGGTTTAATTATTTATAATATAAATTTAGTATTAAAAGCTAAATTTATTATTTGCATTGTGTGGTTTAAGATTTTAGATATGCGATAGCAATCGGGTCATATATTTCAATGGGAGGGTGTGGAGCGACGATGGACCGACGATGTTCGACCGACGATGATGGTGTCGAACTGGAGATTGTTAATGTATCGATTTAGGGCAAACGAGATGTGTTGAGTCGATTAGGGCAAAGTACTCCTTATTGATAGTCAAAGCTAATCAACCTTATTTATAACAATAAACTAATTAATCATGTTCACAAAAAATTATCTGGATGATTAATTTGGTTTAATCGAGTCTCCATATTTAGTCAAAATATAAATACAACCCAAGACTTTTTTTTTCTAACTTTTTCCAAATATTATTATAGTAAATATGTTTGATAAGGACCGGTCAATATAACGATTCTTTGTAAAATTATGTGTAAAAAGAAAACAAAGTTGTTGTCATTTTCAAAAATAAAAAATATTAATTATAAGTTTTTTTAATTTTTATTAATTGAAAATTATAATATATATATATATATATATATATATATATATATATATATATATATATATATATTCTGTGACCATTGTATATGGTCACTAATTGTTTTTTACTTGTAATTCATGAGTGATCAAGTATTTCTCACTATTTAAGTAGTTTTCAATAACAAAAGAGTAGGTATGTGGTTTTGAATAAGAGTAATCATTGATCACTATTTTTGGTCACTAAACCTCCAATACAGTGACTAAGCTTCTAACATAGTGACTATTATTCTTTGTCACTATACAGTTAACATAGTGACCATTATTTTTAGTCACTAAATCGTTGTTATGAAATAAAAGTAGTTCAATTTTTTCACGGTTTAGTGACCGAGTTAGTGACCACCACGTAGAATTTGTTATTAAATTTGTTGGATTACCAAAATTCAGTGACCACTTAATTTCTAGTAACTAAAAGATGCTTTCGGAGACCGAAATTTAAGTCGTCGCTAAAAATTAGTCACTAATAAGAACTTTTCTTGTAGTGGCTGGACAATATACATGGACATCTAATGTAGAAAGCAGAGAACAAACAACACCAAATTAAACAGACAATGGGATACGAGCCCAAAGAGCACAGATATATGGATATAATAGAGATTAACAACACGTAAAAATGAATGCTAAACATTCCCTTTCTGTGCAAGTTCTTACACCATTTGTGAATGATACAATCAATATTTTAAATATCGCCTTCAAGTTTAGTGATATATGTATGTTTGTGATAACCAACTATTATATACTACTGCACCAGTCCTTTCTTTTGCTCTCCAAGCTCACAAGCACGTTTAAAGGCTTTAATTCTCTTTGTGTTAACATCTTCAAGCTCCTTTTGTAAACAACAAATACTCTTTCTTACAAGTTCCATATCCGCTTTAAGTCTGGTAACTCTAGCTTTACGTCCCTTTAAATCCATTGTCATCTCCTCAATATCGTCTAATCGAATCTAACAAATGAATTTTTATACAACATACAATTAGTACTAGAAAAAATGATAAAGACACAAAGATGGAAAAAGGGTTACGTACATTTATCTTGTGTTGTGTAGCTCGCTTTAATTCTACATCGTAATTTGATGGTCGTCTTGGGATTGAGTAGCAATTACTAAGACATTCGTCAGGATCTGGTGAAGTGTAAATATCTCTCGTTTCCTTGAGGTTTCTCATTTCAAGATAGATTCTCATTTCCTCTAATCGATTCTTGTTCCCATGTTGGATCCTTTGGGCCATGCTCTCCATCTTTGAATGGTGGAAGAAATCGTTAAGTTAATTCAAATGATATTTCATATAATGTTTAAAATTTTATGAACCATACCAGATCTTTAATTTCTTGCGTACAAGATGATGTCATTCCACTGCATTTCTTTAAACACAGAAGTTCTTCCTTAACTTGATGCAAATAATCCACGTCCATCCTCCCTTTCTTGATCAGCCTTTTTTGGTAACGTTTTCGATCAGCTCTTACAGCATCTTTTTCAGACAAATGTAAAAAACCAGTTGTTCTTGGTACTGAATTTGTAGGCAAATGAGGCTCGACTTTACACAGATAACTCTCAAGATTATTGATTTCTTGCTTCTTCCATTGTATATATTGATCTTGCTGTGTAAACCACATCAATTTCCGGTTTATTTGATGTTCATCTGCCTGTTAAACAGTTCAGAAACAGAAAACAAAAGAAACGTATGTGAGCTTTGATTTTGCAACAAGCGATCGAAGGAAAGCACAAAACTTTTAAGATCTACAGTTACCTTTAGCTGAGCTATATCTTCCTTGATACGGGATCGAGCAAGAGTCAGCAACTGATATTTTTGCTTCTCGGCCTCTTCTTCTTGCATTTCATCGAGAGAAGGCTGAAACTTGGTGGAATAAAAAGCATGAATGTGGTTTCCATCTTGTAACTGTATTTCCATGGCGTCGATTTCCGTGTCTTCTTCCTTTTTAGTCGACAACATTTAAATGTTTCGTGATTAAATCCTTCCATACAATCTTTATGGATTTATAAATTATAGCACTTGCACCCCACGGCAAGAAAGTCAACGAAGAAAATAACTACATTTAAATGAAAGAGAACGTCTACTAGTTTAATTATTATATGGTGCTAAAGTTTATATATACTTTAGGAATTAGTCTATTGATTCCTTAAACTTTTTTTTTTCTTTTATAGGGCATAAATTTATTTTTGTTACCCCTTGGCCACCTCATTATATTAATTGTCAAATATGTCTACATATGATGAAACCCTTTGAGAGTCCATCTTCATCGGTGAATCGGAAATGTATTTACTGAATCAGCGCAAGGAGCGCCACTACTAGAAACATGGGTTTTAGCGACGGAAAAATCCGTCGCTATTCCGTCGCAAAATGTTGTTTGCAATGGATCGGTGACGGATTCCCTCCATAGGTAATAAAAAGGTGGCTAATCTCTCAGCGAGGATTTTAGCGACGGATCGGTTTTGCCTTGCTACAAAGGTAGCGACAGAATATCCGTCGCTAAATGTCACTCAATTCATTCCGTCGTTGTTCTGTCGCAATTTTCCATGAACAGTTTTTTTTTTTTTTTTTTTTTTTTTTTTCCGTAGCTAATCCCTTGTAAAATTCATATACTATTTTTTTCCGTCGCTGATCTATCGCAAACTTTAGACATGATTTTTTCTCATCACTAATCCCTTGCAAAATTCATACATTAAATTTTTTTCCTTTCCGTCGCTGATCCGTCGCACACTTTAGACATGGTTTTTTTCCGTAGCTAATCCCTCATAAAATTCATGCATTAAAATACTTTTTATTTTCTCACCACCATGTTTCATTATCCAAGAGGGGGTAGCAACTAGTATCATCACCAAACTTAGCCACCATAGCACTTTCATAAGCCTCCTATTATAGAAAAAAATATATAAAAATAGAAACATGAAATAAGGAATGGAATGGTTCATTCCATACCATTAAATTCATAATCAAGGAATAGAATGAACCACTTCATAAGCCTCTTATTAATTAATACTCAAATCTTGCATAAACTTGATTACTACTTACAAAACACTTAATTACAACTTACGAATCATTAACCGAAAGATTTGTTTTCTGTCAATTAGAGATAATAATTTGTTTCTTTTCTTTTGTAAGTTGATTACTACTTACGAAAGATTTGTTTTCTGTCAATTAGTTGCATTAACAAAGTCATTAACCCGAGTAGTAGGAAGTTTTGTTTCCTACAAAAGAATTGAAAATACCTTAACTTTAGCTGCCTTTGGTGTAATGTACTCTTAAGTAGACCGTTTAGTGTGCAACCTTGCATAAAGTTCAACTCCTGTAAGAGGGCGTTTAAGCATTGCTTGCTACAAAATTCATTAGTAATACATTAAAAAACAAAACAAAAACTCAACAATCTAAGTGGAAACTAACGTGAGATGCAAACATCTTACCATTCTTTTCTTATGTTGACGAATAGATATAGAACCCCCGGTATGTTTGGAAACAGAGCCATCTTCTAATTTATTTCTATTATTTTTCCCTGATTGTGATAAACGTTTCCATTTGGATGTGGTCCACACTTCATTGATCATTTTTTCCCAATACTCCTTTTTTATCCAATTTGGGCGATAGTCCTTTAGCAAATTTAAATCACCTTCTAGTGAGGCATTCGCATTTGCAGCTTTGGCAAGTTTTAAAGATGCTTCACGTGCTCTTCGCATTACGTCAGGAAATCGTTTCTTCATACAGTCTTCCCATACCTTGCGAGCAAGAACATCAGTCTCTTCGGGCAAAACATACAAACCCTACATGTAGATCACGCATACAATTATCTTTTTCATTTTATACCAATTTTTACTTAGATAAATCATAAAAATAATAAGTAAAAACCTTGAAGTGTTCCCACATTGCATCACGATGTTCTTTGTCAACCTTCTTCCATGAGGTCCATGGGCCGTCAAACATCGTCTTCAGTATACATGTGATAGCTCTGATCACTGAAATCTGATCCGTAAATCTTGCAAAAAATAAAAAATTAAAAAATTAGCATTAGTATTATCATTAACAAGTAAATTCATTTTCATAAACAATTGTAAAATTAACATTAGTACTCCTTTTTAGAATCAACTTCAATGAACTTCCTTTTTGATGGGTTACTTGGAACTTGTTCCAAGATGTTTGATCCTCTAACTGAAGAAGAAGGTTGACTTTCTGCATCATTGTGTGATTCAGATGCATTTCTATCTCCAGCATCACGACCACCAATGTGACTACCACTGCAACCACCACCACGGGCTCCTCGTTGCACCATTAGTAAAAAAATAACCCTTAAAATCAAGAATTAATAAACTATTGGTTAGAACAAGTATGTATTATAATAGAAAATTATAGAAGTAAGAGAAGGTAACATGCTATAATACACAAATAAATGAAAATTCAATGTATATAGAAAAAGAAAACGATCATTTTAGCTAAAAAGTTATTTATAAGGTCCATTAGGCAAAATATATAGTTCCAAATACATTGTTTCATTCTACATTTTTAGCAATTACTCATCATCAGAATTATCATCACATATGTTTTCATCTTCAATATCATCTTCGGATGAATCATCCAAGTTATCATCAACTTCTTCATCCTCTTCTCTCTCAATGTCATTGTCTGTAACTTCTTCTATTTCTCCTTCAATTACATGAGAAAGGGGTCCTGCCACCTCATTTGCACCGCTACTTGTAGAAGGTAAAGTCGATTCACTTTCTTGAAAGAATTGGTCCTCTTCATCCTCATCATCATCTTCTTCATTAACACATTGTCGTAGATCATATACACCCCTTGGTTTCGTCTTGATGATAGCCCACCAATCTTTCAAATCCTTCATTGCAGGATATGGTGCATAATACACTTGTTCTGCTTGTGACGCTAGGATAAATGGATCTTCATTTCTTAGCCTTGATTTGTATTTAATATCAACCAAATTATGCTTTCGATCCACACGTACTCCCTTCAGTAGGGTTAAACCATATACACTTGAACAATACTACGACGCAACGCCCTATGCCTTGATATTCTACTTCCAAAACCTCATCCAACAACCCATAATAGTCACACTCAGACTCATTGTAACAAGTCCCTCTTACACATACACCACTATTGTGTGTGACCCGTCCATCACCATATTTTTCAGTATGAAACTTGTAACCATTGACAAAGTATCCTTTATATGACCTAACATGTCGTAATGGTCCTCGTGCAAGGCATTTCAGATGTTGACTGATATCATTTGATTGTTGAAAAACCTACATTGATAAATTCATTTGTTAACTAATTCACGGGGAAAGACACTTTGGTAATACAAAATTTCTCGTATCATACTCACATGATCTTTAAACCACTTAGGAAAATGTTGGTCCCTAAACCTTTCAAATGCTCCATCATCCATATCAGGTTGGCTTTGGATCACATAATTTTCAAACAACCTTAAAAAATAAAAAACATTTTAGAGATTCGCGACATTAAGGAAAAATAGATAACTTGACATACCTTAAAAAAGGTAGAACCTCAACACAATTGATCAAGATGTAATTATGAGCAATACACATCTCATCATCTGTCAAAGGCCTCCGTTGACCACTTTTTTCGAATAATCTTCGAGATGGAACTTTGAAAATGCTTAATCGAGAGTCGACCATGGTATAACTAGGAATGTCTGGGGCAAAATTACGCGACTTTACGATTCAACCGGGTTTCAATTGTAGGCAAAAAGTATTGTGAGCAAAAAGTCGATATTTTTCCAATCATGTAAGCCTCAACAATGGACCCCTCAACCTTCGCATGGTTTTTTATCTTTCTTTTCATTGATCCCAACTTCCTAAAAAGATGTTGGAAAAGGCTTATTAGAAATTCCATAGGTTTTATGATAAAATCTCTTTTATATGGTAAAAAATATACCTTTCATAAAGATACATCCACCTATATTGAACTGGACCACCAAGCATAGCTTCTCGAGCTAAGTGGATAACAAGATGCTCCATGGAGTCAAAGAATCCAGGTGGAAATATTTTTTCCAACTTGCAAATGGTTTCAACAATAGTAGTTTGCAAGCGTTGTAAGTCATCTACGCGTAACACCCTAGAACATATTACACGAAAGAATGTACACAACTCTGTAATTGCATCTCATGTTGAATTTGGCACCATACCTCTTAGAGAAATAGGCAACAATCTTTGAAGAAATACATGGCACTCATGACTCTTGAATTTGTAAAAGCTATTATCATCTACATTAACGCACCCCCCCCCCCCAAGTTTGAGGCGTATCCATCCGGGAATTTAAGTTTAATCAACCATTGGCATATTTTAGCTACTTGTTCTTTGCTCAAAGCAAACGATGCTCTCTTTTTCATATCCTTATTTCCCTTCTTCCATGTATGCCATTGCACTCGATTGCAATACATTTCTATATCTTTTCTTGCATTCATGTTGTCTTTGCTTTTTGAAGTGTCCATCACGGTGTTGAAAAGATTTTCAAACACATTTGTCTCAATGTGCATGGGATCAAGGTTGTGTCGTATTAACAACTTCCGCCAATATGGTAGCTCCCAAAAGATGCTCCTCTTAACCCAATTATGAGTAATCCCAAAACCAGGCAATTTTGCATTCTTCGCTCTAAAAGGTTTGCCTTCATAAACAGTTGGAAAGTGTCGTACTTGCTCCCAAATCTGATCACCGGTTAATATTGGTGGGGGGCTAGATCGCTCAACCTTATTAGCCAGAAATCCTGTGTTGTCACCCCTATATGTGTGTTGTTCAGGTAAAAAATTTCAATGGCAGTCAAACCAACATGGTTTACTACCATGGTGTAACCGAAACGACCCCGACTCACCCATACAATACGGACATGCTAACTTGCCATGTGTGCTCCATCCCGATAACATTGCATAAGAAGGAAAGTCACTAACTGTCCAAAGAAGTATAGCTTTCATTGTGAAATTGCATTTAGTCGAAGCATCATAAGTCACAACACCGTCTGTATACAACATCTTTAACTCGTCAATTAGCGGCCTGAGAAACACATCTATATTTTGACCTGGGCTCTTTTTTCCAGGAATAACTATGCCTAATTGAACATATGTTTCTTTTAAGCACATCTAAGGAGGCAAGTTATAAATTGAAAGGAAAACAGGCCAACATGAATCCGGGGTTGTATTTGAGTTATTTGGACTGAACCCATCGGTGCATAGCCCAAGGCGAACATTCTGTGGTTCACTTGAAAATTCTGGATGCATTGAGTCGAAATGCTTCCAAGCCTCACCATCACTTGGATGGACCATCAAACCCGGTTCTGTCTGATGTTCATAGTGCCATGTCATTTGTTTTGCCGTCTTTTTTGTCAAATACAACCTTTGGAGTCTAGGAGCAATCGGCAAGTACCTCATAACCAGATAAGGTCGTCTGCCACTCTTGTACCGATCATGATCACACACTCGACACTTAGTCAAATCAGAATCTGCCCCATAGAATATCATGCAATGGTTTTTTCAAACATGAATCTTTTTTTCTGGGAGTCTAATTATTTTCAAAAGCTTCTTCGTCTCATAGAAGTTCTCAACTAGTTTCTCACCTTTGGGTAGCATCCGCTTAATTATAGGAAGTATGTGATCATAGGCAGCCTCAGATATATTGTATTATGACTTCCAATGCAACAACTCTGTTGCAACTTGTAATTTTGAATAATTTTCACATCCATCCCACAAAGGTTCATCAGTGTCTTCTAACATATCATAGAACCCCTTGGCAGTTGGATTCGGGAGTTCCTCCATTACATCCATCAACATTTGTGTGCACCCATTAACATCATCATCATCATCATCATCTTCCATCAGATCCTGCATCGGATTAGAAGATTCTTCCTCTTGTTGAGATATCGTATTTCTTTCACCATGTGCCCACCAAGTTGTGTAATTAGGAATGAAACCGTGTTGCAACAAGTGAAGCTCTACATCACCTCTTGTTTTATAAGACATGTTCTTGCATTTAAAACAAGGACATCTAATATAATCCCCATCAACGGTTTCTTCATTAGAAAAAGCAACATCGAGAAATCCTTTGACGGATGCATGATATGTTGTGCTAAGATACCCATGATCTAACCTTTTGTACATCCAGTCTCTATCACTACGTGTTGACATAATGACTAGCTACAACAAAATATATAACTACTATTCAGAACTTAGATAGAGATTAGATAAAAACTAACTACAACCAAGTAAGAAGAAGTGGATGACAATAGATCCTTTGGAATAAACAAGAACTGGAAGGGAGAGAAAGTAATCAAATAAAAACTAACTACAACCAAGTAAGAAGAAGTTGATGATTGTAGGCATATGTGAGGCTTGTATTCTTGAAGTTAACCTTACTGACAGCAGAAGGATGTCTTTGCTAAGTTCATTCACAAAATTAGGTCCTAGTTTGTCTTTTGGAATTTAGAGGGCCCACTATCGGTCTTCACTCACAAGAAAAGAAAAGAAAAATTACTAGGCCTGTTTGCTTGGTCTTTTAACAGAAATGGTAAATCACACACACCTAAATATAAACACATATCTTTCCAATAACCTGTTGAAGAATTGGAAGATGCATTAATAGCACTTATTTTCAGGTTTGTCATTTCTGAATTTCTATTTTTTTTTCAATTTCAGTTTCAAAATTCAGTTAATGCCCCTGTTTCTTGATTAAAGCAATAGTTCATGTTAAATTTTAAAAAGTTGGAATGAACATAATGAAATTTTTTTGTATCTTTCTTATGGTTTCATCCATGGTTTATTATGTGTTGATGAAATAAGTGAAGATTATATAATTTGTAGCTGAATTCGTTTTCTAATTACTTGGAAGGCAGTTCTCAGACAAGGAGTGATTACCAACTCTCACTTGATTTAACCCTCAAGTTGTGATTTTGCTAATCTACTTTATGTATGTATAACGTTGTTGATTAGGTTTATGATAATCACTTAGTTGTCTAGAAAGTATATATATATATATATATATATATATATATATATATATATATATATATATATATATATATATTATGATTATCACACAGCAATTGATTTTATAAAAGTTGAGATTACTGAAATTAAATAAAGTAAAGCTTACAGTTATATTGTGGAAGACAATGGGAAGCCTTTGACTGATGATGTTTGGAGTTGTATGAGGCAGAATCAGAAGGATATCCCTTTCTGCACATTTTATTGATTATCTTAAAACTAAATTCAATAAAAAATCATAAACTTAAAGTTGCATAACTATATTTAAA